ACTATGATTGTGAGGCAATGACGACATGATTCCAAATTTTCGCTCCGTCATGATCCTGCTGCTCGATAGCTCCGCACAACCCATCACCTTCGTAGCGCCCAAACCAACAATCCACCGGCCAAACTAAAGATCCCATTCAACTCGCAACGACCAAATTACCCCAGTTAGCATGTTTCCTCGCCCGATTCTGTTGAGAATCGAGCGAGATATTGTTTTTCCCACCTTTGTTCTCCTTCGTTCTCCGCCATCTCCGCGCACCACTTTTCTCCACTAACTCTTTCTACACTAACTCTCTGACCAAACTAACCCTACCATTGCATTCGCCCTATGCCAAAACCTTACTATCTCTCCCCGCCTGATTCCATCAAGGAACGAGCGGGCTGTATAATTTTCACTCCTGCCATAGCTTTTTCCCCTCGTTGCTCCTTCTTCCTCGCCCCGTATGCACCCTGCGCCAGATCCCGTCCAGGTTCGTTCGGTCTGCCTAATGTCAAAATGTGCACTAATCCAGAGACCACAAAAGGTGCCAACCTATACAACCAGCAGAATGGTGATCACGAAAGTCGACCTCCGCTAAGGAATGAGTAACAACCCACCTGCCAGCTGAAGTCCCCAGAAAAAACAGCACGGCAGGGCCCAAGGCAGCTCCAACGCTGCAGCGGGCTGAAGGGCGCAGACCCGCTACTAAGCCAGCAGCGTGAGCCTGGGTGAAGCGGGTCCCGGTGCAGATCTTGGTGGCAGCGGCAAATATTCAAAAATGGAACTTTGAAGGCCAATGTGGAGGCGGTTCTATGTGACCAGTGGGCACCTATGGCCCCCACCCCCCTGCTGCAATAGCTTGGGCCGCACAACCAGCATCGGGGCAGCCCACCCTTTTTTGGCTCGCTGTGCCAAAAGCACAGTTCTTCGTTGTCGGACCTCAACGGTCAGGCTCATACTCACACCTCTCATAGCATATGGCGGGTGGCGGACTGCACCCACAGCGAGCTCCGCCACCCCGGTTTCCCCTGCACGTGGGCCAATCACCCATTGGCCTTCACGCACGTTGACCTCCTCGGTCCAAGTTTCAAGACGGGCTGATAGAGAAAAAATAGCCAGCATCCAGGACACGCAGGAACTCAAGCAGGCCCTCCAAAGAGGCATGTGCTCAAGGTCCTCGACTGCCGTAACGGCCACCTGTGTCCGGCAAAGTAGCAGCCGAGCCAAGCCCATCGGTCCCAACATCGGCCTCGGAACAGATCACCAAGTCAAAGACAATGGTAAAAATAAAAGTAGAAATAATAATAATGATAATAATAATAATAATATTAATAAAAATAAAAAAAATCACAAGGGGCAGAAAAAAAAGTAAGGGGACGAGGGGCCGCGCGTCCCGCTGGCCTGCAACGCCGCGCACACCCAGGCCCCGCGAGTTTGCACCCCGTTGTCAACACATCGCGCGCTCCGCTCAACCGGGCAAGGACTCAACTCTACCCTTGAGTGCGCCGTCAACTTCGGGCGAGGTCACACCGGCGTGACTTACAAAAAGCACGCCAAATACCCTTGTAAGGGTATTTGGTACAACAACGTAATACTACATTGATGAGAAAGAAAGGCCTGAAAGGCCATCTCCTGTCCAAATTTGACAAGTACTTGAAATGGTTGGGCTATCAAAGAATTAGCCTTCAAAAAAAAAATGAAAAGATATCATCATTTTTTTTTTCTTTAATTTGCCTTCTCCTCATCGGGGTATAGCTATATGCATATTTTGCTCTCCATTTCTAACTGCCTTCTGCCATGTCATGGAACATATCTAATTCATCTTTCACAACCGACTAACACTACTCCTAAGCCTATACATGAGACCCCTGCAAGCACAACTATCTACCTCTGGGGAAGGGCGGTTACCTCTTTCGGTGGAGGGAAGGAATTGCATGTCGCCCCTTGCCCTAATGCTTTAGATGGTGCAGGGTTGGGGCTGCTGGTGGGGGCCTGACTAACACAAGGACGGAGCTTTTGTCAACAACAACGTCTCCCTTTTCATCTTCCCCCACCCCGATCCGAGTCCAGTAACCATAGTGTGTAGAGCCAACACTCTCACACACCACACATAAGCCACTCACACTCGCAGTCACACCCGTGTTGGTTTAAGATCCCACTAATACCAACCACGAGGATCCAAATGACTATCTCAGTTCATTGGAAGCAAGAGTACCGCTAAATCACAAAAGCAGCCGCCAAATGTAGTCCTCGTAAAGGGAGGACAGGGTCTAGGGGCAACAACAATTTTGTGATTTAGAGGGCCTACTGTGAGTATGCCCTAAAAGGGACGTTGAGCTGTCGATTTTTTTTTTTTTTTTTTTTTTCCAAGGAAGGGAGCTTCTAAAACCACCAGTACCTTGAAAAATTGCGGCTGATAACAAGGAGCGAAAAGGATGAACGAATGGGGCACTACGCGAGCGCCTAAAGTCATCCCATTAGAAACACTTCTACTAAATTCTTGTCGCGTGGCCGATTTTTAATTATTTTTTGGCATTGACAAATCCCCTGAAAATTTACAGATATGTATTTTACATAATCAATAACTCATTAAAAAATTTTCAAAAAATAATAATTTTTTTTAGGCCCCGAAATAAAGTAAAAACAAAAAGTTAAAAGTTAAAAAAAAAACAAAATAGTGAGTGGCAAGCACGTTTTGACACCCACATCTTTGACGATTTTTAGTGTTTTTTTGGCTTAGCAGAATGGCTTCAAAATTTAGAGGCATGTAGGTTACATTATGGAAAAATCACAAAAAAAATGTCAGAAAAAAAAAACTTATTTTTAGGCCCCCCCCAAAAAATTTGGCGGGGGGCGAACCTGGAGGTGTAGGGCCCTCGAACGGGACCCCGAACGCCCGAACGTTCGGGGGCCAGCCCGGGGGCCCCCGAACGTTCGGTCAGGTAACCCTGGCCTCAGGGTCATATCGAATTTTTTCACCAAATTGCCCGGTCGGCCAAGTGGTCCCCAACCACTCTGGTAGACTAGCAAAAACCATATATTAAAAAAAAAAAAACAGAAAGAAAGATGACATGAGTGGGTTTCCCTATTTTTCACAGAGATTGTTTTTGTGGGCCAAAAAAAAGCAAAAAGACAAAAAACAAAAAAATTGTAGATTTTTTGTTGATCTACAAACCCATTGTTTTGCTTTTTTTGTTAACTTCATACGTATCTTTTAAAAATAAAAAAACATAAATACAACGAAAAACATACACACACATAGACCCTCACACACAAACACACACACACGCAAACACATGCACACACAACCAGAGGCAGTGGGGTCTAGGGGATAGTATTTGGGGGGGGGGGGGGGGGGGGGGGGGGGGGGGGGCGGGGGGTGTTGCACAAGTTGAATTTGAGATGTTCCATCTTTACTTTTATCGCACGGAGGTACGAGGCAACGGACCGAAGGTCTGGCGGACCTTATCCGTTGAAAAAAAAAAATGGCGGGAGGACCCTTGTTTTTTATTCAACGGGGGCCTGAGGAATTAAACGGCTTTCAACGACTATTTAATTCCACACCCCCCTTTGAATTGCCTACTCAGAGGTTAAGGTACTCATTGGAGGTCGGTCGCTGCAATGCCAAAATCATTTGCATCGGCGGAGAAAAATGTCAATTGTTGCTTAGACTGACGCTTCAGCAAAGCATCTCCCCCTTTTCTTTTTCGTTGCGGCGGAAAGACACTCAGCGGTAGTCATGGTTGGGAGGGGGGAGGGGAGTGGAGGGGGGGGGTGCACGGGTGGGAAAGGGGGGGGTCCACATGGTGCAAATGCAATAAAAATCCTTCCTATGCAACCAACCTTCACCGCCCATTATGACTCAAACACACTATTACAAATATCTGTGTAGCATCGTGTTCAGGTTCGGTGACCGGACCCGAACATTCGGGACCGAACGCGAACGAGCGCTGAAACTCTCCGAACGCGAACATAAAAATATTTATTAAAAAAATATATATCCAAAAAATCTGAAAAAAATATATTATGTAAAATAATAATACAAACAATTTTTGCCTTGGAGGTATGCTCAAATTCATAACCAAACTCGAGTTAAAAATCAAAAACCAAAAAGATTTTTTTTTTTTTTTTTTTAATATATTCGGCCGAACACGTTCGGGTGCCGTTCGGCCGAACAACCGAACATGTTCGGACGTTGGGAAAAGCTCCGAACATGTTTGATATACTACACATACAATATATTTCATTATGAGTATAGACAAGGTACGCACATATTTTTGAAGAAACATATCGTTACGCCCCTAAGTACCATGTACCATTTTTTTTTTCTGTCCTTTCTCTCTCTCTTTTTTTTTTTTCCTCTCTCTCTCTCTCTCTCTCTCTCTCTCTCTCTCTCTCTCTCTCTCTCTCTCTCTCTCTCTCTCTCTCTCTCTCTTTCTTAGCAAGAATACACCATACATTTGTTAAAGACAAGTAGTTGTGTACTTTTACGTTAAAAGGTACGTAGTACTTCGAGGAAAATTATAATTTTTTTTGACGAAAGTACCACGTACCCTTTCAGCATCGTTCCTTCAACAAAATATATATTTTTCCTACATAAGTACACATCAGGTGTGTATACACTGAACCCCAACTCCTCCAGCCAAAAAATATTCCATAGTCATGTGAACTTAAAGTACACAATACCACATACTTATTAGGATTGTGTTGGGAATTGAGAACTTGGGAGTGTGTTGGGACTTGTTGGGAGTGTGTAGGGACTTGTTGGGAGTGTGTAGGGACTTGTTGGTATATATATGGCGAGGTCCTTAGCATATGCTAATCAGTTGGGTCCAGCAAAAGCAGTAGAAACATATCAAAAATTAAATTTCTATAATTAAAAATAAAAATATATCAGAACTTTTTTTCTGTTGTACGCATGCGGCGGTCCACTTTCAACAGGCTGCTGCGTAAGGTGGGCCCCCTTTTGGAGAAACAGGTGACGAAATTCAGGTTGTCGTTGCCGCCAGCTAAGAAACTGGCGTATGCTCTCCACAGATGGGCCCACGGAGACGAGCACTGGCACAGTTCCTCGGGGTACGGTATGGGGAAAACCAGTGCCTTGCGGGCCGTGCGAGAGGTGGCGGAAGCCATTCATGCGTCGTTCCCGAACGTCGTCGGTTTCGGTGGATTGGAGGAGCGTCACCGTCGAATGCAGCGGTTTCGGACATTGGGTTTCCCCAATTGTTGGGGGTGCATTGACTGCACTCACGTGTATGTCGACAAGCCGCGATCTGCCGACGGTGACGACTATTGCTCTGGGTGTAACAACAGGTTCTCTTTTGTTGCGCAACTCGTTGTCGATTCGGAGCTGCAGATCCTGGACTTCTGCTACGGCTTCCCTGGGACTGTTGGCGATGCCCGGGCTCTAAAAAACACCTCGCTGTACAGGCGAGCCCTTAAGGGTTCCTTGTTCGTTGACCTCCCCGACGACCCGTTCCGTGCAGAGAGGCCTTCGATCCCCGGTGTTCTTGGTGGGTACTTGCTCGGTGATGGCGGGTATCCTAATCTACCTTGGATTGCCATCCCCTATGGCCAGCAGCCACACCTGACGAGGGCGATGCAGCGTTTCGACGCCCTTTACAAGATTGTGAGGTCTTGTGTCGAGCGTTTTTTTGGAGTTTTCAAAATGCGTTTTCAGTACTTCTATAGGCCGCATATAACGGACATGTCGAGGGAGAAGTTGGAGTTTCGGGCATATTGCATCATCTGTAATCTCCTACAGGCTTGGGGAGATATGCCGGAGGTGGACGGCGAACTCAACGATGCGTCGCCTCCTGACGGTCCGCCTCCGAATGTTGACCGGCGTGTGGACGGTGCCCCTCTCGAGTACATGTTTGGCAGGGAGCGTGGTCAGGCCGTGCGGGACGCACTGTGCACAGAGGTTGTTCGTTTGTGGGAACTCCAGAGACGGCAGACCGTGTAGTTTGGTGTGCGGTTCCTCCACTTATTCCGCTGATCACTTCACCTTTTGAATTTTGACGGCCTCCTTCACACCACGCGTCTTGTTCGACACGCATTTCAATATTGAATTCGCAGCCGGTTGTACGTTGCGTTCCTCGCTTCAACATAACAACCGCCATCCATGGCGGGCACGGAGCAGCGCAGGGACTACGCGTACGAAAGGCGTGCACTCATCGAATGTAGGAGAGGACAAAGAATCTGATGGAGGTTGAGCGGCTGCACCGGATTGCGTCAGACCGCCATCCGGGGAAGTGCGCCTCCACACAACATCACCCTCATGCCCAACCGGAGACAATGACATGGCAGGACTTCGTTCATTACATTGCTGCATGTCACTCCCTCCAGACGCAGTGCCCGAGGCACCGGGAGTGCCATGCCCAATTCCGACAACCCGGGGACCAGGGCCAGCACACCCTCCCGACGTCCCTTCGTTCATGTCCAGGGCCAGCCCCTCTGCAATTCGCATTGCACGCAGTCTCAGACTCTGCCTGAGACTGTTCTCATCCTCACCTCCCAACCCGATTCTGAACCTGCGAACAGGAGTCACAGGCGATGACAGAGGTGGACCACCTGTCACAGCATTGGAAGGTCGGAGGCTGCCGCCCGCACCGTCCGTGACCTGCCACAACGACGGGCCGTGGACCCCAACCCCCCTTCCTGCTTCGGCTGAGCAGTGGAACCCAGGAGACTGACATGGTCGCTGCAGTTCTTGAAAGCCCGATGGAGGGGTCAGTGCCCCTACACTGTGTTCTGGCGGGTATGGGGACTGGGACCCACCGCCAAGCACCGACAAACCGGACTGCGTACCACTCACACCTTCGCGTAGGATGGTTTGCCCCCGGACCTGCGTCGACTGCAGCGGCCCACCATCCGGTCCGCAAGCGCCGAAGTCCTGGGACTCGGAGTATCCCCAGTCGTCGATTGCAGACAGGCCGGGTTTTTGGCTGTGGTTGGCCATGGACAGTGAGGGCGTCTTCTTCAACCTTCAAGGACGATGTGCTGAACGAGGGAGGATGAAACAAACGCCCGTTTTGCTGCCTCGGAGACGGCGGAAAACGGAATGGATGCGACAACAAAAACAGAGAGAGATAGAGGTTCATGGGAACTCACTGCATGAAGGCCATGCCCGATGGAAGGAGGGCGGAAAGGGACTGCTTTCGTGCCACCCGACTCTTGGGACCGTCGGATGAATCGTACAAATGGTTAGGAAGGGTGGAGGCGCTCTCTTTTCGCACTTGGCCCATTTCCACATGCAAACTTTCCGTATCGGGAAAGTTTGCCCGGTTGCCTATGTATTTTCGGAGGACAGTGGGGGCTGCACATAGAAACGGCGGTAGACCAAATTCTCGCGCCTCCTATGAACTTAGACTGCAGTGTACCTCAGGTTCAACCCCACACAACGGACAACCTGACACCGTTTTCGGGGGCGTGTCCGGCGGGCTCTGCACACAAACGACATTGGAAAGAGGACGTTCCCAACTTTTTTTCTTTTTTTTTTTTTTAAAGGTAAGCTATACTCTTCTCTCATCTATCTCATTTTTCTTGATAGTACGCATCTATCTCATCCTCTCACTATTCTATATATAGTATGGGGGAACACCAACCAACCCGGATCCCTCCCCAGCCCACACGGTAGGTTGGCACCACAGCTGTGGTGCGAGGGCAAGGCTGTACCAGTCCCTCATCACGGTGACGAGGGGTGGGCAGGCATTGCCGATGGGGGAAATCGGCGGTGCTAGCGCCGAGCAATGGCCAGTCACTGCACCTCCCCCTACCCCCCCCCCAACCCCACATGGCGGTGTCTAATGGCCAATATTGTTCCCAACTTTTTGATTGGACTTCCGCCAAAAAAAACTTGGGCGGGAAGCTTCAAAAACACCCCCTGGGTCAAAAAAACATAAAATTGAAGCTTCGCCCCCCACGAATGTGGCCAACTAAAAGAGCAACAAAACATTTATAAAAGATGGTACTGGACGTCCGCGACTCGGAAACGGCGGGTTGGGCAAAAACACGACGGCGTTCGATCTCCACTGCAATAGGGGGCTCACGTGAGTCACCCCGGGCCGCACGTCTTTGAAAGCCCAGCCTCGAAGCGTAACTCTTGGCTAGTGGGACTTGGCCCCAGGGGACCCCTGCAAGCATAGCTACCTCTCATGCATGTTACTCAGCTCCAAAAAAAGGCACGACTGTGCCAGACTGTTTCGTCGGACTTTCACCGCTCGTCAGGAGGTCGACCCCCCACAGTCTGCCCAGGATGCATTGACTGAAGGATAAGGACTCGCCACATTGCCCAGAGGTTGGCCTGTACGCAGAGGCAAAGAGGCAATTCCCATCTGTCTTGCGGATGCGACAATATTCCGTTTTCTTCGTGGCCGGTCCGGCCCGAAGGCCGCCTCAAGTCCTGCTGCTGTGGAAGCTGTGCGCACTCTTTGTAGCCCGCCGCGTGAAGGCCGTCACGAGCCGCACAGCTTCCACAGCTGGTCCGGCCTTTCCTCGTTGAGCTTCGTGGCCAAAGGGGATCTGAGCGTCGCACCTAACGGTCATCAGTTGTCGGCGTTTCGCGAGGGGGGCCGAACCTGGACGCTCGCGGGTCAGGCGGCGTTGTGGTGTACGTGTACCGCGAAGGGTGATTGCCGTCCTAGCGCGGCAGCGGCGTCGAGAGTCGTGACGATGGCGACCGCAGGGCCTGTGTGCGTGCCACCGTGTGGCTCTGCCACGTCAGCGATAGGCGTGGCAGGATCATCGCTGGCGGGAGGGGTGTCGGGATCATCATGCAAGAGGCGGCTGTGGTGGTGCACGTCGTCGTCGTCGTCGTCGTCGTGTCCACGTGGCATGTGGGCAAGCAGCAGACGAAAGCAGCAGCGATCGTTTGCAGGATCAATGTTGTCCAGCGCGTGTTTCCAATTCCGCGACGACGAAGAAGAGAGGGACCTGCGGAGGCTAAAGCAAGGACCGACACGTGGGGGGGGCGTATTGCGCAGCAACAACAACAACAAATGGGATAGGTGGAGGATAGGAGAAGGGAGGGGACGGGGATCCCGACGAAGAGGGACAGTGTGCATGGCGACCCTTGGAGCTCCGAGAAATGCGTCAAAACAGGAGATCAAGAACGCGTATGGACGGTTGGCAAGGAAGGTATGTATGCCCGTGAGCCAATCACCATCATCCCCACCATCATCATCGTCATCATCAGCGGGGAAACAGCCATCGCTGTGAATCAGTAGTGCCCAATCAGTGCAAGCCACGTGGCATGTCGTAGCCTCTCCCCCCTCCCGTCGTCTGATCACGAGTTTGCTAAACAAAAAACTTCATTCCGGAGAGTACTTCTCTATGTCTTTTCTTTTTTTTGATATCTGATCGGTGCTTCATTAGTGACCACATAAAAAAGAAGAAAGTAAGAAGGAAAGAAAGAAAGAAAGAAAGAGAAAACAGGAAAAGAACAAAGACAGAAAGAAAAAAAGAGAGGAATTAAAAAAATAAAAAATTGAAAAGAAAATTTAATTCCGAGGTCCCTGACTCCTGTATGGCACGTCGCAGGTATGAAATGCAACACCGGTTCATAAGTCTCCCCTCCTCCCCTCCTCCCCTCCGCCCCTCCTTACCTCCTCCTTCTGTTCTCCCCCCTTCTTTCTCCTGCCCTCCTCCTGCCGCTCTGATGCAATTGCTTGCCACGTTGCAGGAACGGATCCCGATCTGAAAGAGAGGTCCCGAGGTGCCTTTCCCCCTCCTCCTCCGTCATATTCTGCCCCGCCTTTTCCACCTCGTCTTCCGCTTCGTTCTTCTTCTTCGCTGTCCTTTTCCTCTTCATCCCCTCCTTCCTTCTTCCCCTCCTCTACCTCCTGAACATTCGTCCTCCTCCTCCTCCCCCTCCCCCACCTTCTCCACCTCGGTTTCCCCTTCGTTCTCCTTCTTCGCCTCCTTTCCTCTTCCTCCCCTCCTTCCTCTGCCTTCTCCTCTTCCTTTTCGATCTTCTTGTCGTCTTCCTCCCCTTTCCCTTCATTCCCTCCTCCTCCTCCTCCTCGTCACCCTCTCCTTCCTCCTCCTGCTCTTCCTCCTCAACCTTCTCCTTTTCCCCTTTTCGCTCCATCAATTCATCAACTCAAAAAAAAAATCATCCTCTGTGGTTAACATACGTGTGACGCCAATCGAGATCAATCAGTCAATCAATCAGTCTATCAATCTTCTTTCCTTCATGGACAGATGAGAGAGCCAAACGGCACGATCATAACCATAATGGTACTTGTCATGAGGACGATGATTACGGTATTGAAAATGATAAGCAGTCCAGAAGAACATGGCAGGCGGGAAAGGGGGAAAGAGAGGTCCAGCTCACAGGTCCGACGACGACGAGGAGAAGTAGTAGTAGTAGTAGTAGTAGTAGTAGTAGTAGTGGTAGTAGTAGTAGTAGTAGGAGGAGGTGGCAATGAACCGAGGAGGCGGGGGTAATGGATGAAGAAACGGTGATTGCCGCATGGCTGCGGGATGAGGAGGAGCAGGAAGACGTCAGATCATAGTGATGATGATAATAATGATTGCAATGACGGCGACGCTTCGGGTGTCCTGAATGCCATCCGCACATACGATTCACGTCAGCAACCTCGTCCTCCGTCTCATCCACATTATCCACATCGCCCGCGTTATCTACATCGTCCGCATTATCCATTATCCATTATTGTTATTATTATTATTATTATTATTATTTATTATTATTATTTATTATTATTATTATTATTAGGAAAGCTTGAAACTTTGCATTACAATATCATAGCAAAGAGGCCGGGGACCTCACAACTCGACCGAGAGCTATCCTGGCAGCATCAGCCAGTTTAGCTTAAGGCACCCTCATTTCTGGAAACCGGGTCCAAGATTCCCATTCCTTTTTTTTTTTTTTTTTTTTTTTTTAAAGTCCCATTCCTACTATAATGCTTTCCAAAAAAAAAGAAAATACACATGAAGCTCAAAAGTCCCCCTGAGGGGGGATTTTTTTTTTTTTTTTTTTTGGAGAGGGGGGAAATTTAACAACCAGTCATTCCTGATTACTTATCAGAAGATTCCATTGTCAATTCGTATTGGGCCTAACATGGATGGCTCCCTAGAACTGAAGTTGAGCCTACGGCTTCAACCAATGGGCGAGCACCAACCTTCCTTCCCCTGAAATCGAAGCCAGTTCGGGGACGCTGGACCCGGTTTCCAGCAATGGTCTACTCTGGGTAATGATCCCAGTGATGTCCAGTTCCGCACTCCTTCCTAGAATACCCAAGGTACTGGTGGCTTGGATAACCTTTTTCTGTGCTTCACTTGCTTAAGTTGGAAAGTTTGTCTCGTAGTATGGGATGCTGGACCTGGTTTTCAGCTGGCTTAGGGTCAGGTTGGATTATCTTGAAGATTCAGATTCTTTACACAACTTGAAGCTAAACTTGCTGACGCTGCCAGGATAACTCCGGGTTGATTGTGAGGTCCCCGGCGTCTCCCATCTCTGATATTTTGCAATAACTGGATAAGGTTTCCAAAAAAAAAAGAAAAAAAAAGAAAAAAAAGAAATCGAAGCCAGTTTCTTCTGAGTAGCCCATGTCTTCGCGAACCAGAACCGACCTCTCCCCTGGCGACCTGAGCTCCTCCCCCAATCCGAGCGAATCAAGAGTCTCAGATTGTTTACAGTAATATCCGCTGCTGCTGCACTTGTGAATTGAGGATTTCGTTCTTAAAAACTGTGCTCTGCATTCCTAGCCCTCCAAAAACCGAGCGAATCAAGAGTCTCAGACAAGGTGTCCAGTGACACGGCAGCGCCAAAAGCAGCGCCTCCAGATTATCCGCAAGCTGTCGAAGGCAAGACAGTTTTTTCTTCAGCTCTTCTGCTGAGATCCCATCGTCTCCCTGCTCGTCCCATAGGTGTTTACCCAAAAACACCCCTTTTTCCACTCAAGCCTTACCAAAACCACCCCCTTTTCCGCCCAAGCCTTACCAAAAACACCCCTTTTTTCCACCCAAGCCTTACCAAAAACACCCTTTTTTTCCACCCAAGCCTTGCCAAAAACACCCCTTTTTCTACCCGAGCCTTTCCAAAAACACCCCTTTTTCCACCCAAGCCTTACTAAAAACACCCCTTTTTTCCACCCAAGCCTTACCAAATTT